GGGGGGGGGTATTGCCTCTCCCACAGAGTTTCCACACAACGAAATGCGACTTTTTAGTATTGTAGTTGTTTGCATATTGGTAAATTTTCAGTTACAACTTTTAAAAGTCGCTTTTCACGTTGTTTGAATTCGGTCCGTTGGCTTCGTGAGAAACGCTAATTCTGTGACATTTATATACTTGGCCATGTGTAATTTGCAGCAAAGACAAATTTTTGATAAAGACAAAGATTGACTGATAAAGACAAAGATCGATTGATTTATTGATTGATTGGTCAGCGGTGATCCAGTTCAGTTCAATGGTTCAGTTACTCTTCCCGAATTCGCTCGAGTACATGATTAGCTCGGACTCGTGGGTGACAATTTAACTTATTTCTCGAGGTTCATTTGTGTTACAACAGCCGAATTCAACACATTTTAATTTGCGGTTGGAATGACAGTTTTTTTTTAATAAAGCACCCTTTGCGTTAAGTAGCGCTGGTTTCGTCTAGAAACATCGGAAATGTTTCTCATCTTAAAAGATCAAAGAAAAAAAAAGTGTGTTCGCGTTTTTCGCACTGACCTATTTTAGGATCTATTTAGGATCTAGCTTTCCGTAGAAAAAGCACCTATATCCGACACGGAATGTACAACTTATTCCAGAAGCTGAGCGAAAACAACATCTCTCCGTTGCAATAATCTCTGAAAATAGCGTTCCTAAAAGGTCACTACAGAAAGTTATCCGGTAGAAGTGTAAAGTCTAAAGGGCCTGTAAACGTAGACTTAATCACTTTGATCATAAATATTAAGTAAGGATTTTGAATAAATTTCCAGTGAAATATTGGACCCGATTGCGTAATAAGTTACAGAAATAATCAAAACAATGAGTTGCTGGATATGGCATGGAGAACAATGCGAATTTCAAAACAATGAAAAAACAATGGATTAGTCTGATCATTAAATCGTCGCTGGAGGGCGCTGTGATTATTGTTTGTATAATAAAAGGGTCTGAATTAACGTGCTTTAATGCTTTATTGTTTAATCTCAAACTCATTAATAATTCATGAGTAAATTAGCCAACATTATTGCTTTATTTTGCTCACATACTAATACTGTATTGATCCAGTCCTTGGATCAAAATTAATTCAACTCATGTAGTGATTTATTCGTATGAGATGTTTTTTTTTCGAATCCTCCAATTCGTACTAGATTTCAACTAGTCTTCGCATTTGAAATCTAGTCCAGTCCGGCATATCTGTGTTTTGGCCATCTTAGCCGATACAATGAATTGTTGAAGGATTTGGTATAGACTCAGTGGAAATTTTCAATTGTTCAGGTGTTATTTCTTCTTTTTCTCTTGTGTTTTTATATAAAGGAGCTAAAATTTTACTGTTTAACGATGGAGAAACCTCTAGCAGTTTTATTGTTATTAAAGCCGCTGCCAAATTTGATATTTTAATATAATATGATAAGAATTCTCCGAATTAGATGCTACTAGTACTGTATTGGTGGTTTGCAATCAATGGCCGTTGAGTTTATGAATTATGAGACAAATTAAGATATATGCGGCCATGTGTTCCAAATGGCAGTAGCGCAAACCAAGAATAAAACCAAATTTTTTTAATTGCAATTAGGGACGGACCATTTGATTTTTGATGGGGGGGTGGGTAGATTTTCAGTTTGCTCGATATTTTTTTTCCGCCTCCTAACACTGTTCGATTTTTTTTTGTCAGTCAGAGGACTTGCACGATATTTTTTTGTATGCATGTATATACATTTTTTAGTTTTTGTTTTTACATTTATTGGTATATAATAGGTAATTGGACAAGTACTGGTGTAAGACATTGTGTAGCCTAAATAATGAGAGGACCAGTATTGTTCTTCATTTCTTTACTCCGACCCCTATGATGAACATGTACGTAAAAAAACTAGAGAAACTACGATTATATATAGAAACTAAAGTAGGTGAAATTTTTATGGGATTCCATAAAAGGTGAGGATATAAGAGTGAGAGATTGAAATTGAGTAGGAAAAGCAACCCTACACGCGTTTCGACCTAACAGTCTTCTTCAGCAGGGTTTTTTAAAGGGGGGAGGGGGGTATATAAAATTTGTAGAGGAGAAGGAGAGTTTAGGAGCTCGGAAAATAATGTGAACTTGGACCCTCTACGTAGCAAAATCCACACCAGAACTAGCTATAGCTATCTATTTGTCATATCGTATCATTCATTTACTAATCTCTGTTTTGGTTTTGTTATATATGTACATGTTTTAGTTATTATTGTACATTCATATATTTTAAACAAAAATCAAACCCTGCACGGTGTTATCATTATTTTTATCCCTTATGCATCACTAATTGCCAAACGCCCCTATCCCTGTCTTATGAGCTCCTACATCACACTAACGGCGTATTTGGATGCAATCACCTACAGTCACATGATCACCTTTACCATCACAATCATTCAAACTCACTATACCATTGAGTAGTTAACCCTGTAATTGAAGGACCTGCAAATTTGCTTCACTTCACCAATACGAACGATGAACAATAAAGTGCGTAGTGTTGGAATGTCCCGCAAACAACCAGACCTTTGGTAGGATAACTTGACTAATAACATGTATCGTAGTTAATATTCTTTTATTATAATAATTTGTTTTCCTCTTGGTCTCACATTATTTTCCGAACTCCTACAAACTCTCCTTCCTTCTCCTCTTCAAATTATATCTACACCCCCTCTTAAAAAACCCTGCTGAAGAAAACTGTTAGGTCGAAACGCATACCCCTGTACGCTATTCCTACTCAATTTCAATCTCTCGCTCTTATATCCTCGCGTTTGATCGTGTCCCATAAAAATTTCACCTATTTTAGTTCTACGGCCGTGATTTAATCGTAGTTTTGCTAGTTTTTTACGTACATGTTCATCATAGGAGTCGGAGTAAAGAAATAAAGAACAACCATTTTTGGAATTATACTGGTCCTCCCATTATTTAGGCTACAGGGCCGTGGGAAGCTCTTTTTGATTGGGGGGGGGGCTGAAAGCGAGGGCCGAAGGCCCGAGGAAATTTTTAAATTTAGAGTCTCTGAAATGCCATTTCCTGGACTCTGCAGCCCCCCCGGTTGCTACATACAGCCCTGGGCTACACGCGGAAATGCACCGAATGGCAAAAAAGGATTACCACTCGAAAGCCTTGCTCGATATTTTTTTTCGTCCGTTTATTCTTGCACGATATTTTTTTTAAGTTCGAATTGCTTGCCCGATATTTTTTTTGGGATTCTACCCACCCCCCCATCAAAAATCAAATGGTCCGTCCCTTACTCAGTTCTTTTCATCATCTCATTCTTAAGAACTTTTGGAATGAAATGGTAATTTATTTTGAAGATTTTCGTTTGGTCACTTTATTTCTGAAATATTTCAGTGTGTTTGTCACATATGCCATAATAATTTAGCAGAGAAAAAGCTTGTGTATCTTATTAATTATCGAGTTTAATTCATTAAAATGAAGAAGTTCGGAAGTTGTGGGTGGATGACATTACATATGTAAAACACAATTTAGCTTTTTTTATTTCATGATATTCAGATATTGAACTGTCACTTACAATCTTTGATAAGTCAATTGCGGACATTTCCATATAACCCCCCTCCCCCTGAAATACCTCCAAGCTATCTACAAAGCGAGGAAACGAAAATCTTCAGGTTCTTGAGAATAAGATGAAAAAAAAAGAGTTAACGTTTGGGTGCATAAAAAATGCTCAATGTTATTGACGTACATCGAACTGCCAAGTGTTATACAAGGGAAAATTCAGAAAGCGTCTGCCTATAAAACATCAAAGTTCAAGGAAGCGACTTGCCATGCCAATAAAACCTCAAATTTGAAGAAGGGCAGCCACAAATTAAAAACCTCCCCACCCATATCTTTTCCGCTTTTCACATGTGTGGTTGTAAAATCAAGATAAACACGATTAAATGCCCCAGGCGTAACGACCCGGATTACGGGATTATTACGACGCAAGACACGAATCCGTTTGTGATTTTAACGAGACACTATCAAAGGTAGAAAAACACACATATTATAGCAGTGAGCAGCTTAAATAGGTTTATACACTTTAATATACATAATGACTAATGTGAGGGCCATTTGGATGTAGTGATTGGCTGAACGATTGGCACAACCCTCAGGCGATAAGCGAGGCCAAGGGTAACGATGAATAGAAAATCTATCAATACTTTATTAAGGTTTATTTACATCCACCTTTGTAAATATATTAATAAACAAGTAAAAACAAATTGTGAAATAAAAAATACAAACGCCTTTAGAGGGATGAGATTTATTGTCGGCTTTCGTGAAGCTCGCGATATTAATCTGACCGGAAGCCGTAATTCAATAGTAAACGGAAAAGGTAGGCGAAAATGAACCAATAACATTACGAGCCTTTCCTTTGATCAACCGCGGCTTGTGACGTCTGTTTGGTCTACACGAAAAACCCGATTGCTTCGAACCAATCGGAGGGCGAGAATCGCATCACATGATCCTCGTCAAGGGGCAAAAACAATGCTTGCTTGTCAATCATGGCAAGCGAAGTAAAGTTGTGCGAGCGTACGAAGTGGACAACAATACCCAAGGGATATTTTATAGATCTGAGTCACGTTTGATACCATTGTTTTTCTGCGTGCAAAGCGTGATATTTACTTGCTGAAATGACTTCGTTGTTGCCTTTTACGCCACCGATTGTTAAACGACTTTTGGGTTGGAAGAAAGGCGAGGAAAACGACGAAGACAAGTGGGCTGAGAAAGCGGTCAAGAGTTTGGTTAAAAAATTGAAGAAAACAGGAGGTTTAGAGGAGCTCGAGAGAGCTATAACAAACCCAGGCTTACCGACAAAATGCGTGACAATACCACGGAGTTTGGACGGCCGCCTACAAGTCTCGCATCGTAAAGGATTGCCACATGTTATATACTGTCGACTATGGCGCTGGCCTGACCTACAAAGTCATCATGAATTACGACCTGTGGATTGCTGTGAATTTGCTTTTAGCCTCAAGAAAGACGAAGTGTGTGTCAATCCCTTCCACTATCAGCGCGTCGAAACGCCAGGTAAATAAATACAAACACAACATATAGAAATATATATTAATACAATACAACTTGTCGTTTGTATACTATAGAGCGACTGTTATCATACAGAACTAGCGTGCATGTCACGTTTCGGTTGACATTTGCACAACAAGTAGCAGAGTAAAAAGCAAGCATTATTATTCGATGTTATTGTTCGAAATAGTTACACAAGCGAAGGGGGACGCATTTTGTTGTCTTGTTTTATATGTTGTAGTACATGCATGTTGTTGTTCTTTCATGCATGTGGTCGCCGGGCGCAATTTTAGCGAATTTTTGCAAAAAAAATCCGCATGACTTGGCACATCTATGGCTCTCGAACTTGCGTGTTCTGAAATGTATCAATTTGAGAACATATTAGAATATCGGACGTAATTGGAACGAATGTTGTCGTGACCGAATATATTGATGGATTTCGAAGTAATGTGTGAAGTACATTGACTCGAGGCATTGTTGGTGGTCAAATGGGGCTGAGTATTGTACACAATCAGATGGGTTCTATTTTGCTTTTAAAAATATTTATCCGAAGCCATGGGTCGATCGGCATAACAATACTTAAATAAGAATTACGAATCCAAAATGGCTTCCTGAATTTGTCATGAAAAAAACAAACGATGTTTGATTTATATTCGAACAGGCAAACGATACAAAATGTCGGCACGATTGAGTCATTCATAAATGACATTACACATCCAATTCACAGTACAAAAAATTGCGTCAACAATAGCCACCTAAACTCGTTCCATGTGAATGCAATTAATCGCATTCGGCAAGGATTATTTTCAAAGGAAAATGGCACAATCTAACCGCATTCATGGCCGGCTTCTCGAATGTTCGTTTGAGAACTCTACATATTTTTGAAGTGCCACTTTATAAATTAGTTATTGTTTTCCTTTTAATTTCCCCCTGTTTCAGGTCTGATATAATCTGAGCCCCTGTTTTAGAATTGGGTTGAAATATCTGGGCAAATTTATTCGGAAATTTGAAATTATTTTCTGGCCTAGATTTTGAAGGATTAATACATATGTGGGTGTACTGGGATTTGTCTGAGAGGCAAAATAATGTGATGAAATCCAGCGTATTTTGATGACCCCAAAAGATTGAAATATGTCCACAGCTACTTCTCTCTGTAAATCTGTGAAAAAAATTCCCATGAATTTCATGTGTAAAAAATTCCCATGTGTAAAAAAATTACCAATTGACAGTTTCAGTAACTGTTACTGGTCACACAGATGGTGCTCGGTTGTAGAAATATCATCACTTTAAGCAAGCAACTTACATTTGGTGGCAATGTGGAGAGATGTAGTGTAAGACTATAGTACAATAATGAAAAGTTTTCACCACTTTCCCCACATTGATAACTGACTGGTGACCAGCATCTGTTGCTGGTAATTTGTAACCCATTCAGAACTTTGCATTGCACCCCAATGCGTCCCTGCATAATAACAATGCGTCCCTGCCAAACAACATTACCCGTCAACTGGACAGCGCTGGTGCTCAATGGGTTAAAGAAACCCACCGATACTTTGCATTGCCTCTGAATTCACATCATTTGCTAAAGCTGTCGAATTGGCGTTTTCAAAACCAAGTTACTCATCTGCCATTTACGTATTTGAGAGAGCAGTTTGTGGGGTTATGCACAAATTGAGCGTTACCTCGACTATAGTTTATAGTGTAATGTAGATATAATTGTAAAGTTTATAAGGGGTGTGCCTCGCATGGGGTGTGCCTCACCTGTTCGCACTTTTCCTTTTGGGCAATACCTATTTATTGTTATTGTTAACATTCAAGAATTTTGATACGGTAACTGCCATTCCCTGCATGATAGACTGATAGTGTTTGTGAAAACCTATACCATTTGAAAACAGGAACTCCAGAACATTACAGTACCGACCGACAGCAGTGCCTGCATGGTGTTCAAACGAGGCCACAATTGGTACAGACCGTCCCAAAAGTTATACTTTATTACAAACATTTTCAAACTGTGTTGCAAGGAATTTTTGTTTGCATATTTGATAGTTTTATCCTCAATAAAACTTAATCCACCTTCTTAACCTGTCTGAAATTGGATAGATTTTTTTTACCATGGCATTTTAAACTCATTTCCTGAGGAATGATGTCATCAGAGACATTAATCCTGGCATCAGAAACATAGGCTGTAAATCTGTCACATAGAGTTATATTACCATGATATTTTCTTTTTTGGTATAATGTACTCAGGTGAATATGATGCTTGTGATGTTACTCTGAGTGTATATCCACACCGGGCAAGCTTGAAAAATATGCCTGTCCATGGTGGGAATTGAACCAGAATTCCCACTGTGGACAGGCATATTTTTCAGGCTTGCCCAGTGTGGATATATACACTCAGAGTAACATCACAAGCATCAAATTTCTACCACTTGGCATGTGTTTTGAGAATTTGAATGTTGGTCAGTAGGAGTTTAGAATAGGAGATGAATGAATCACACAGAATGCCATTTACCTTTTACTGTTTAACACCTTTATACAGTATAAACCATTTTACTGTTATAAAAAAACTTGCAGTTTAATGGAGTTGGACTTCTCTAATATGGATCGAACCAAAGCAATACAGCAGTGTCGCTATTAAGTTCCTAACGAAGGGCGTTTGCTCGACATGTTGAAGTTCTCCACAAATCATTCAAGCTCATAAGGATAGGTGTGACCAATAATTAATTTTTTTCATGTTTATACATGAAAAAAACACAATTTTGTCGTTTAAATCTGTGACCCTGGATTGTCATCGATTGCAATTAATACTGTGTCAATGACCGTATCACAGATTCACAGAATCGTTAAATTGTTGGCACATTGCGATATTCAGGCAGTCCATTAATCGAACGGAGCAGTATCATAAAATTTACAGGGTCATGCTTAAGTTCAATATAATTATGTTGTTATTAGTTGTGGTTTGCGGTGAAACAACCAAGAAAGGATAATCAATCCATTTGATTTCTGGAATACAGACAAACCTCTACTTATGAACACACCTTTTTAATAAGGACAACTCTCTTATATGGAGCCTCCCTATTTTGCATTTCTCCTGTGGTTCCCTTCAGCATTTCGTATAACCAAGCAAGAATTATAGTAATACCAAACCTGGTGGCCTATTGATGCCAATTAATAAAGCTGTAATTTTGTTCCTTTATCCACTTGAAAGTTGTAAATTATTTCCTGGAATTGTTAAACCTTAATATATAATCCCGGAGGGAAATATCGAGAAACACATCAGATAATAAACAACACCTTAGGGAAATATTGAATAACACATCAGGTACTAAACAAATATGGCAACGAAAGTGAACATTCCTTCACACATACATGTTTTTAAAACATAATAAGATTCACAACATTTTTGACATAATAAGATTCACAGCTTTTACTAAAGTTAACTAAACCAGGTGCTAGTAAGCATGTAAAATGTTTCTCATGACATCATGCCTCACTTAATTGTAACTTTAGTCTTTAGTATAATGATGATTTTGCAACAAATTCGAAATATAACGAACTCATTGTCGTCTTGTTTTTACTCGTACTTTTGTTTATGCAGAAGCAACCAAAGTTGGGCAATAAAATCAGTTCAATTTTTACTTTAGGATATTTCTGGTGTTGAACATTCCCTTGACTCCCTTATCCACTTGAGAAAGTTGTAAATTATTATATCATGGAATACCAATTTAACCCCAGGAAATATTATGAGACATTCAAAATACTAAAAAGATATTGCAGGCAAAAGATAGCATTCCTCACATATAGAATATTTTTATATTGTACAATTCGTACGTACCCGAGGGGTGTATCACAAAATCTCGTCCTGTTCGAAAAATCCCGGAAAATTCCCTATGAGAATCCCTAATCTTTTTAGAAATCCCTACAAATCCAAAAAAAAAATATCTCGGAAAATCTTGAAATCCCCCCCAAACCCTGAATAATCCCACACTAATTTGGTTATATTGTTATCAGCGGTGCTTAACATGTTCAAACACGATTAATTCTCTGTATAAACACCAGTGGAATGAGATAATTTCATAGAATATATATCGTACGAAGCAGACTGTGAATTAAAGTTCCATCTTGACACTAGATCAAGGCTGGATTTTGGTGGATGTGGTAAACAATTTAGGAGAGGTGCAGCGGTCTAGCTCATGACTTATGGTTGGGATTCAACTACCTGAAAATATATAAGGAGAATTTCGACGTTTCGAGCGAAGGCCCTTTTAATGAATTATGACTGTACAACTCATCGAATTTTGCCCTTCATTACAATTACTGCAAAGCTTCTTTCAGAACATTGCATTAAAAGGGCAATATAACAGTTTCAATTTTACAGAAAAACTTTCTTTCGAAGCGTAGTGACCCTACAGTCCTAGTGTAATAACCTGACGTCATTACTTATGTGACGTCACTTGTATATAGCTAGCCTTACATGGATATTGAATTTAGTATTGTTATATATACTATAAGAATACTACATTGGCGACGAGGATCAAAATATCTCCACATGCGCTATGGCCTCATCTTTACCACCATTTCCTCCGTTCAATGTCGAAGACGACCCCGCCGCGACCGATCAACGCTGGACTAAATGGAAAAAACGTTTCGAAAATGTTCTTCTTGCCATGGATATCGACGATGAGACACGCAAACGCGCACTTCTTTTGCATTCTATTGGCTCGTCAGCATTTGATATATTCGAGACCCTAACGGTGACGAGAAAGACTACAAGAAAGCGATGGACCGCCTAACCGAACATTTTACGCCGCAACGCAACGTTGATTATGAAATATACCTCTTTCGTCAAGCTCGTCAACAACCGAGACGCTCGATCAATTCACAACTCGCCTGCGCCAACTGGCCTCAACTTGCGAATTTACCTCTGTTGAGAAAGAAATGAATTTAGTATTGTTATAACCACTCAAAGAGCGTGCCTCGTATTATTATACTATAAGAATACTACACCTACGCAACCAAAAATGTCAAATTTTCACACTGATCTATCATTGAAACTTTTCCAAGGGGGAGGTGCACGACTTTTCAGGGGAGATGCAAAAATTCTCAGGGGCAGGCCTTAAAATATCGGTCGGTCACGGACATTGTCCGACCCATTCGTGAAATTGTCCGACGTAGAGAGAAAACCACCGGACATTCTGTCCGACCAAAGTGAAACTGAGGTTTATTGTTTGTCCGACTCAAGTGAATTGGTGTCCGACCGAACTGTAGCTTTGTCCGACGTAAATCAAAATGTGCCCAATCCCACGACTAGAGGCTTGTATGTTAAATGGAAAATCAAGAGTACTGTTGTAAAAAAGGTGAACTGGAAATGTTGTTTTAACGTAGTCGAGCGCGGGGCGGCGAGCGAAATGGTGAAGTGGAAAACGGGTTTAAGTTGTCGAAGTCGTTTTTAACACTGCTGTTCTGGCAAGCAAGCTAATTTTGGCTTTGAAATAAGTATGAAAGGAACAAATTATTTAATATCTTTACAACATTTACCGTTTATTCATTTGTGTCATTCAGACTTATTTCCGAGCCAAAACTGAACTGAAGGTCATCGGACATATGTCCGACCCAAACTCAACGTCACCGGACATTTTGTCAGACGGCCCTGTAA